CGCCCCGCATTCGACTCCCATTCAGAATCGTAGTGGCGCAGACAGCCTAGTCTCTGACTCTTTTTATATTGCTCCTATAGAATGTTCTGGAAAACTGAAATTCAGCTGTTTTATCCTAGAGAATTAGGCAAAGTGAAATAAAANTGAAGTCAGTAATTTTTGAGGCAATTTGACAAAATAATTAGCAATTAAGCAGCCTATCGTAGAGAAATAATTGCCTAGTAAAAGCTAGCTTGAAAGCCTTCATTATTCTTAACTACTTTAGAACCCTTCACTTGGCACGTCCCTTTACCAAAGCAGTCGATTCAGTAACTTGGAAATAATAGTCCTTGACTGCATTCCTAAGAGCCAGACATTACCTGCCGTCAGCCAAGACTCAAAAAGTCATTAGTATTTAGGACGCTTGTGCAAGTCCTCAGGGTCAGGCCTGATCCCACATGAGTCTGACTCCCCAAGCCAAGCTCGAGTAGGTTAAGGTGCGGTCCCATGAACCTATACAAGCGTCCTAAATACTAAGAACAGCCAAGGATGTCAACGACGATGTGGGAGCCCAGAATCCGAAACAATCTTCCAATGGAACTTGACTTACCATATGTTCATCTTCTAAGAAATAATCTTACTCATTACCTATTGGACCCTTGAAATTATTGAGAAGAGGAAAAACAAGTTCACTGGCACTGAGATATGTACTTTTGGGTCATTTGGGACAAGCCGCATATTGAAAATTCCTATAATTACAGAGCAAGATCTTAACGAAGTAGTTGCAGGTATTGCTATGCGGCTTCATCCACATGGTAAGGGTATCGGACTCCGGGCCGGAAATCGCCCGAACCATCAAGCTTCTGACTTCTATGGAGCCAATGGGCTAGAATTAGTCTTGTTTGGAAAGGCAAAAATGTGTTGCATATCGGGTGGTCCCCCAAAGTCAAAAGTGGCTCTATGCAACACCAATGCGATTTTGAAAGGAAGTCGCCCGGGTAGACATTCCCCTGAATGGGATTGCCCCGAATCGAAAAGACCTTATTCTTCGTTCCTTACGGATGGAATGAGTTGCGATGACAAGTTTCGTTCTTTATCCCCCTTAATCTAAACAAGTTCTAAATCGAGATCGAAGCCATCTGAGGGAACGAAAAACTCGATTAAAGTGTGATGTTATCTGACGGAACAAGCATATGGTCTAGTCAATCGCCATTATCGCTTCTTGCTAATTATTTATTTATTCAGAATAGACTAGAACAAACAATCAACATTGAACAACAACCGGGAAGGCAATGTCTCCGTTTCACGTAGACTTCACAACGACGGTTCAATGCATGTACGTGTCTCGAGCCAAATCACCTTCTTTGAACGTAGCAACCCTCCTAGCCTACCTGGGAAAACAGGCATGATCCAACTCGACCCTGTACTGAGTCAAGCCCACCTTTGGGCCCGATCAGCCCCTTTCATTGGGCTTTTTTGTCCCTTACACTTAATATTCATAATATTTATGGGGAAATACGCCACCAGAGGGGGAGACCTCAATTTTTCACTTCCAGCCCATCATATCCCTCCCATCCGTTCCCCATCCACTCCGGCAGTGTTTCACCCTTCAATTTCAACCTCGAGGGTCCACTTTTTCACGTGCTTCTTTAAGCCATGGTGCCATCTATTTGCATGGTGCGGCAGTTTTTCACTATCTATAACCACCGCATATTTCTAAGGGGAGTACTTTGCAGCAGTCAACCGCTGCCAAACGGTTGCCGCTGTCAGATGGCTGCTTATTGCAAAATGTCGTCGTCNGTCGTCGTCCACTGCTGCATATGAATAGGCTTTCGGTCCCATCCGATCTCTGGGGAATTAGCATTTCGTGTAGAAAGATCGTTGTGTCTGAAGTGCCGTAAAGAAAGAGTACATGGGGCTGTCCGTGGAAAAGCAATCATGGCAATTGCCTACGTAGACTATGTCTTTAATCAAGTCACACGGAGTCTGTAAATTAGTATTACCGAAGAAAAAGAGCACTTTTCACATGTGCATGTACTTCATTCTGGGAGTTTACCATCGATTGGCACCAGCTTCTTTGAAAAGATCAATGGTCAGTAAAAATGTTGACACGGGTCAGGATGCGCCATTGAGGTCGCCCCGTCGAACATGACCTCAGGCAACCGTGCCAGGACCCTCTATCTTCAATGTATTGTAAAAAATGAAGGGTTTTGACGCGATTCAACCTATCTTCCTTTTCTCAGCCATACTACCACACATTCCCCACCTAAGCAAGGTGCTATCTGTTTAACTGAAGCCTACTATTCCTGACCCCCTTTTCTTGGGCTAGCACATTTCCCAGCACCCACCCAAACCACGTTCCCCACCCTTCAGAACCCAACTCAATTACGAATTCTCGTTTTCCGATCCCCCAACAATCAAAAACAGCTTCCNCACACACACACACATGGAGGCATGGAGGCCAGAGGACAGCAAAACAATCCGCTCGATTGCTATTCACCGGTGAGCCGTTGGCGACGACGCCGTTGTGCATGCACCCCCAACGGGCTGTCGTGGGACATTAATGGAATAATCTAGTCGTCGAACACATTCACACCGCCTTACAAACACCACACACAATGTCCCCCCTTGTTAGTGTGAATGTTCAAAGGCGAGAAAATAATACCTTCCGGCTCGCGTAGCCACCAAAACTTGAAATTTTTACTACTTTCATGAAGAACTGAACTTGGAAAACTGCCAAAACTGATATGAATACCTGATATCGACAGCCCTATGAAAAAACCTATGCATGTGAAGGCGACTTTTATTACCTCGGTTTGCATGTCAACACACAACAAGCTGAAGACCAAGCATAATCTCAACCAAAATACAGTTTAATTAAATGTGTGCAGCGCCAATTCAATAGGAAGAGAGCAGTCGATTCGAAAAAAAAGAGGGGAAAAACTGAAATAATAGAGGCATAATAATGCTATCGAATATACGCATGATGATGATAATGACGATCGGCGCGACCCTCAATCGAGGTCGAAGAAGAAGTAAACAAGAAAGGGAGAAGAAATCTCTCGCGCGGATATGGAAAAATACATTTACAACAAACAATACGATTAGACGATGCTTGACGAATAGTAAGTAGTTACTTTACATGACAACTCGTACAAACCACTGAATAACAAAACCTTTTGAGGTTCGTCAAGCCTCACCTCAATCGCTAAGAGACAGCAATCGAACAATGATAATGACAAAATATCAAGCTATCAGCTACCAAATACCGTCCCTCCTCAACCGTTTCATCCTTTTGCTCATAGATGGACATATGTCACTATCCGAGAAGCGCACAGGAAGTACAGTGGCAGGAGACATTATAAGAAAAAATAATTTCGTAAGAAACAATAAACAATTGAATTTTATCAGATATATGTTTAAATTATGTGAAGATTATGTGAATGGGGAACGACTGGTGACAACTTCACAATGGAACTGAAGCTCGAACTTGACGACCACACGTCAAGTTGCGGTCGAAAGCAGATCTGGAGAAAATAAACATCTTAATAGGTTCGTACCTTGTTCTGGACAGTTTCTTGAAGAGGAAACTATATAGAACTCAATTGCGGACCAAGTTTTTATGGCGTTGGCCCTACCCATTTCATTTTTTTCCATCTCGGGCTGGTACGACTACTATACAAGCTTCATGGCACCGGTCATTTGCCAACGTTCCCTTACCCTCAGTTCAATCTTATTGTCTTGTCAAACTACGGCACATACTGACCGATTTGTCATTCGACCTCGCTCTACCTCGACGCTGCTTGAAGGTCGATCATGCACTCGCCGGTCACCTTTACACCACCGCACCACATAATATGTCTCTAATCACTTCCGGCCGCGACCTTCAATGTCTCGCGTACTGTATATACGGACGGGTTGGTGTTCCATTACAATTTACGACTACTCCTGGCCAAAGCTATTAGAATTCATACGGGACGTGCAATCTTTGACACATTAAGCCGAGATAGCCATCGCCAGATGCCAGCAAATCTCTCAACCGCCATCCAGCAGCATCCGCGCGGGTCGCGCACTCATCCCTAGAGCTGTGGTGACACCGCCTATCTGTCTCATTCGCCTCTCATCGAATGACCCTATCTCACCCCCTCTCAACCACCGACACCACAATCAGCACTAATTTGCATAGACGATAAACACCAGCCGTGTGGTGGTGGAGGTGGTTGGTGGACAGAGCACTGCGCAAAACAAAAGCAGGAACGCATGCGCGACAACGCAACGCGCACTTTTACATAACCCTCTAGCCAATTCCCTGACCACTTATCCTACGCATAACAATCACCCATCAAACAATTTCTATTTTTCCTTGTTTTGTCGTCACTCCACGGAAAACATCATTATTAGCCCAAATTAGATTCCCAAACCATCGCCAGGTGCTCCAATAGAAAACCAGTCAAGCGAAGAGTCACTAGTAATAGTAGTTATTCGAGATGACTCACACAGAAGTGCATGCATGGGCTGAATTGCATACGTCCACCCACAAACATTAATGGTATGTGGAAAGGAAAGAAGCGGAACAAGGCCAACCGTCACCTTTCTTCCTACCAGGTCTTTTTCTTCCATTTCCCACTCGCGCATATGCCACCCCCATAAACGCGCACACATTAAGCAGGACCCACTGATTCTATGTTACGGTCATTCGCGGATATAGAATAGTTCCACAGCGAATTCAATAGAGGAAAACAGAGGCTGTTAAACGAACGAGCGCCGCGACGCGACCAAGTTCCCACAATTTTCGGGGCTGTACGACGATTATATACCAGCGAAGACCAGTAACCTATCATAGCGTCTAGTTTATTGCATCTAGGGTGTTGAGAAAATTATGCGATTGATGGTATTGGAAAAAAAGCTTACCTAAGATTGAAATTCTACAGAAGGTGATTGGGGAACGTCGTAGAGGGGAAAGAAACAACCGGCAGATCTGAACGGAATAAAGGGGAATGGCGGACCATCTTTGGGAAATTTCAATTAGCCGCAACGGGTGCTGACGTCAATGCGTCAACCTGAAATGAAGAAGACTTCTAATCAAGACTCTTTGCTACCTACACATAAAGACTGATTACACATTCTGAATACACCCACCTTTTTGCATTCCTCTTCAGCTACTTGCTCCCCCTCAGGCGCATTTGGTGCTGCGTCTCCACCCTCAGCCGGAGCGGGCTCTGCGGGCTCATCTTTCTTTTCAGCGACAGGCGCTGGGCGACGCTGAAAAAAAAAAGAAATATGTAAATCTGATACGGACACGGGTCACGTCTCATAGCTTAGAACTTCTAAAACAAGCTCGCAAACCTTGAAAAAGTTCAGAATCGACTGGATGATGTTAGTGCGAACAACCTGGCTGGCTGCGTTAAGCACACTGTCGACATCAATGCCTTCTTGTTGGAATTTCACCTGTGCTTTCATGGCAAGTTGCCAGAGCGTGTCAAATACGGCTGGATAGCCAGATTTTCCTTTTTCCAATAGATCTGCTGCGGTCATTCCCTAAAATAAGTAATTTACAGGGATTTGTTGTTTGAGAAGACATCTACCTACAAAGAAGTAAACCGAAGCAACAAAGAATCTTAGTCCGCCCGTCACACTTTTCGAAATACATCACAAATTCAGTTTTGTGACCTAGACAGTCTCAGTATCACTATCCAGGACAAGATAACCCAACACGATCACCCGAAAACGCATAGTAATGGTTTCCGTCACCTACACCTACTCAACCACCGTGGCGTGCTTTCAAGAATGTTCTAAAAAAATCAAGAATAACTGAAAATCCCCTTCCTTCCCTTCAGCAACTAATTCAGTTTGATGAATTGTAAAGCAATGGTTGCGAATTTGATCTATGCTCGAGGAAATCCTCTAAACACTAAGTCCTGATCCACCTCAGACTCATCCCTCATTCCATCCCCGCGTAGATCGAAGCAATTCTTCAATGACTCGCTCAGTGCAAGATGACTCATACATGTCATGTCACTTGTTCACAAAAGTTACGGACATTAAGGAGCCATTAGTCTGGCGCCCAATCGTCGCGTTGTTATTTGTTGTGAACAGTCAACGATCAAAAGAGGCCCGTCACTACTGTGTGTCCACCCTCAAACAACTTGACTGACAACCTAATTCCGAAAAACTGAAAGGATAACACCTAGAAGCTCTCTCCGATTCGCATCCTGAATGAACTCACCGCGGAAGATTTCGCAACATGCACACTCGGAAGAAACACGCACGCCAAAAGCTCTTATTTCATATTCCTTTGCTCGGTCAGTCCGCGGAGCCATTTGGTGTCTGCTGCGGCCAAGGGGAAAGGACAATTAACTTGAGCGAAAACGCACGATGCTGCGTCTATCAGAAACAACGAACATTTCCAGGTCCCAAAAGCTGGTCGCGCGTCCGTTAATCAAGTCGATCGTGCGCCTGCCCGAGAATATCCCATAAATGGCCTCACTCTGCACCCAGCGTGTAAGACTCTGTTGCAATGTGCCCCTGTGCTCATAAATAACGTCGAGGAAGAAGGCCTAATTGAATTTCAACTACACAATGCCACAAATGCGCCCGCTCAATGATCGACGAGATTAGCTCATTGTTGCAAGCATGAAAGGCTCGGAAAAGTAGCATCGGTGACCCTTTCAAGGTTGCAACATCGAGCAAAGCTTGAACTCTGGGAAACATCTTTTTGGCCACAACCAACAAAAACCTCTAGCGTTACAGTTCAGCGAAAATTTAGGGTAAGACGATCTCTGGGGAATTCTCCTCATTCGAGTATTGCATTACAACACACACTCGACCTGTCTGTGACGTGATGTCGTCATCAATCAGTACGCGAGTCCATTTGCATATTTGTGGGGCTGACGCGTATCCCGTCTCGTACCTGCCGAACGAACGAGGAAATGGTGGGGCGACCGAGTGACCGAACGACCCGCTTTCCATCTAGCGGTTATATCTGTTCCCATATCGAATTTCATAAGTGAATCGAACGACACAACGGGTCAGACCGCAATAAATAGTTGTACAGGAGCAATATCAGCCCAGATGTATCGAGCTCCCAGTTTACAGCGACTGGGAACGTAACATCCCCATCAGACTCCAGAGACGAATGTCAAAAAATACCAACAAAACAGCCAAGAATCGAATTTGAATAACTTGCTTGAAACCACCAATCCCCTGTCGTCCTAATGAGCTGATCAGTAGAAACAGTATCAGGAGATACTAAACTGTGGCATTACTTTTTTGCCATTACCACTTAAATATTAATCACAAATGCAATTCTTCGCATTAATGCACTGTCGCTGAGTGAGCACAAAGTGCACAACAGCTCCGCAAATCCGTGGCTAACTGCCAAGCCAAACGCTGATCTGCAGCCCAAACAAACGCCGCGGTTCATTGACCTTGAAGGGCACATAAGCCAAGTACGCGCACCGCCGTAAGCCACAGTATCGCGTATTTATGAGATTAGCCGATAATAATAGTTCCTAAACAAAGGAAGGCGGCAATGAAGAAAAGGAAAGAAAGTTGCCTGGGAAAATGGCCGATACTGCCTTGAATAAGGCCCTTTGCTAATTAAACAATACGCACCATTTGAAAGGAATCGTTTCAGACCATATCACACTCCGTCAAATAATTATTCTACTGGAAGAATCATGGCTTCCAACTCACGATACCCTGGCAAGCGCATCAACCTTTTCTTGCGCAATTATCTGTCACACGCTGACCCGAGTCATGTTGCTATCTGATGTTCGGCAGTCTTTTAGTCAATTGGAGGTCACTACACCCGATACATGAAGGCCGATCCTAACGGTGACACAAAGCGACCAACGACGGCTCCCACAACCAATTCACTCCGGAAGTAGAAAGAAGTGTAAACACATTCCATCAGGGCAGGGAAAGTGCGTATGACTCATAACAATTGACGCGAGAATTGTCAAATAATGTACTCTTCAGGTTGGAGATTGATAACAACCACTTTTTCACAGTACCTTCTTCTGAAGGTCCTCTACGTTGAGATTGGAAAATGTGTTCCTACACCATTTCGCAGAGTCGACCTTTGGACTAGGTCAACGACCAATCGGATAGTATACATTCATATAATAACCCTAGCCAATGTCACGCAACCAGCCCATATGTCCTATTTGGGAGTATTGAGAACCAACATAAGTGGCCCAGTGTACTCAACATCAATTGGAGTGTTGCGGATGGTCACCTCTATAATATCTTTGAAGAGCAAATAATCGCCTCACACAGCAGCAGGCCAACGAGTTCATTAGCGCTTATCAAGAACAACCAAGGTCAGCCTGAGCAGATATTGCCTTCCAGTCCAGCGAGTCACGCCATTTGGTCAATACTGAGAAGCAATTCAATGCATAATTTTCAATGCCTGACCAATCCAGCTAGTAACACACCCTCTCACCGGAAAACACTACTTGTTGCTTATAAAACGTCTGCAAACAATTGTCGACGGATAACAATGGCAAGGTTCTCACCTTTCCTTCCTCGAATCCAAGTATATCTCTTGCCCAGAGAACAAATTGGTTGATAAGATCGGCTTGTTTCTCTTTTTGAGTCTTCTGAGCTGCGGGCTTTTCCTCAGTTTTTGCTGGTTCCGTGGCAGGCTCTTCCTTCTTCTCTTCTCCTTCCTTAGAAGGCTCGCCTTCGGCGGCGGGTGCCTCGGCCGGTTTCTCCGTTTCTGCTGTTGGTGCAGACTCTGTTACTGGAGCAGCTTCAGCGGTTATCTCAGGTTCGACTTTCACTGCTCCAGGCTGAAAATATTGATATTTCATTCATAAATGTGCTATGAACATAATTCTACTCTCGAGCGCTGCCTATCACTAGATTCAGCACCATCCACTATGGAGAGGACCTTAGAAATAGGAGAATTCTGAACCCTTCACAATAGCATCAGGTAATTTTCACACGATTATTGGATTATAAGAACGTAATGGCATTAATATTGCGAAAGAGACCTCTCAAGCACCGATGATTACGCATGAAAAGTGTAATTAGGCCTTTATCCATGGGCACAAATAAACCAGTCAGCTCATCATTGGCATTTAGACAGGAAAAAGTAGTACTCTCAGCTGCCATGGATACATAACCTTTTGATCGAGAGCGCACAATAATGTTTTGCAATTCTGTCTGCTGTACGAACAAAAGGGCAATTGCACGAATGACTAACAGTTCTTGTCTCACCTGCAGTTTATTTGCAAGGGCAGTCAGTAGTTTCCCATCACGCAAGAAGGCCAAAAACTGGTTACGAGTCACTGAACCGTCCTTGCCTGGTAGAGGTGGCCGTTCTGACTCACCATAAGCCAATTTCTGAGCCCAGTCCAATACGAAGTAGTTGACCTAAAAGAATTCTTATAACTCGTAGTAGTAGTTCGACAGTATCATGTAGACCCTACCTTGTGAACAGCTGGTGGAATCTGTTGCGCAATCCATCCCAGAGCGTCCTCGCGAATATCCTTCGCCTGCTCAGGTTCTCGTTGAGCAGCTGGCTCGTCGCGTTTCTTACCCCATTTCAGCGTAGGCCGTTTGAAAATACGATGAGATGGTTTCTCCTCTTTTCCAGCCTCTTCAGATGGTTTCTCATCGGTTTTCGGTGCCTCGGTGACCTTAACGATGGGGTAGTGATGGCTTCTTTATGAGGTTCCATTACTACGCTTTGATTATCTTGAAAAATGAACGCTGGGATCTATACTAACACGAACGCTTTGGGAATAAAAAATGCTCTCGAAGAAAATTACTCATGGTGTCCTTTTCTGCTATAGGAATCAAAAAGACGGGTTACTCAGAAAGGAGACATGACTTGTTATCTCCGCCTGTGCGGCAAGAAAAACCCCACACAGTTCACACGCCCCTTTTCGGTAGTATTGAAGATAACACTGGTCACACAACAAAAAAAAGTGCTCACATCAGGCTCAGCCGGTTTACCCACGTCGTCCTTTGGTGGCTCGGAGGTGGGAAGAGCCGGTGCCTGCTCCTCTTCAACAACGGTGGTCGCGACGGTTTCCTGCACAATCTTTTGTTCCTCTAACATCGTCAGTGTAATAATGTGAAGTGGAGTTATAGACGACTGGCGATACTCTATAAGTGAACGAGTTCTTTTTAACTAAAACTCCGGGTGTACGACAGCAACGACGACATAGAGACTTCCGCTGTATAGAAACGTCTACATGGATGACTCATAGAGAAGAAATAGTTACCGAAAATGTCGACGGTTTGATTCAACACGATAACAACCTAGTTGAGTCATCTCTATTAAAAAACTGTAGCTATGAGGACATCATTTAGGGGGCCAAGCAACGGTGCGGTGACAAAACAAATAAACAAGACCGGTGAGCTGAACGCATTTGAAGGCAACCGATGGGAGCAAAATAGATCTTGGCGTTTTGAACGCAAAGATAATGAGTTTTCTAAAGAGAATATTGCTCCATAACAAACGCCCCAGTAGCTCTGCTCTATTGAGCACATAGAAATAAAAAAAAAAGATTATTTTGGCGAATGGTTCACTTTCCAATGGAATAAACGGGAATTGATGGCGAATAACTTTGAAACCACGATGGTTTACGAGAACCACATAAAGGATGAGTAATTCAAACTCGAAAAACTTCTCATAAAANCACACATATAGTGGTGCAAAGGCGTAGATTGTAGAAAAAAGACAAGGCCATTAAAGTGCACTCGTTTCAAGAATGAACTCTTTCAAAGTGCAAAAATGACCCTAAAGAGAATGAGAAAAACGGTAAAAATGGCTTCAAATATTCTTTACATTATTACTCAAGTAAAGGAGAGGAAAAGAATGGAAATGAAAGGATGACCGGAGGAGTGGACAACAGGAACGGCGTCCATGGCGACGGATGACCGGTAAAATGACGCCCGGTCGCAGGTTTGAACCACCGCGCCAAAATCGATCACAGGAAATTACGGTAGATCAACGTGTCATAACACGTCCGAACATGTCGAAAACTACCGTAATCCACAGGGTTCGAAATGAGTACGTGCGACTGGAGTACTCGAAGTATGAACGTCCAGGTAATGGTTTAGAAAGTGAGTAAGTAAAAGAATGGTTCCCAGACAGATCTATAGAGATTGGATTGAGTAGATGTGGCGTAATGTGTCCGTTCTGATGGAAGGGGCGAGGAAGTGGAGGACGAGGAGGTCGCATAGCACAGCGAATGACCTCCAGTGTGTCAGTAACATCATCTGCGGGGTCATCGAATAGACAGAGCTCTCCATCGGGACGAGATAGCACAGTAACTGCGGACAACACAGGGGGGACCGCCCCCTTCGTGCTTCAGCAGCAGCAACGATTCGCGCGCCGCGCGACGCGCGTTGGCAGATTACCGCTGTCGCCGCGACGCTCGGCCCCGCCCACATGTCTGCTTGTCGACCTAGAGGCTCCACCCCCACTTGGGAGCAGGTCTACATTAATCACAGGAACACACTTTTGATGTGGGATTCTAAGCCATCGATAGTAGTCCTGACGTCTTCGATCCAGGGATTATCCCTAATCGATCGATAAAGGTTAATTAGGTTACGATTCCTTATGGCAAGACCTCGGGGGATTCGCCGTGCCCCTCTTTTTCCATCGCAATCGAGCGGGTATTGAGGAGTAGGCCTGCTAGAACGAGAATCAGTAAAGGTAGCTTTACCAGTCAATACCTATGTCTTCCGAGAAAGGTGAAGTAAAGCCCTGTTAAAGAGGTTGAAGGCCCAGTTGACCTAATGGGGATCCGGAAATGAGACCCTCGAAGCTTCCCATCAGGAAGCCGTTTTTCCCACATTCACGATTAATGAATGAGGAAACGGTGATAGAATCAACAAAACGAGCAGATTTAGACGGCAAATCCAATAGACAATCTCTGTTCTGTGCAAAAGGGCAATTTGGGGACACCTCGATGGTGGTCGCGATCTATTTTGGGGGTGTCATCGAGCCATCCAGCCGGGGCCGATCCACCCATTGCGGGGTGTTAATGATCGTACGTACATACGTGTGCTAGATCGACGGATTTGGTCAATGAATTGTCAGAACGCAATGATCCAGTCAATAATCATCTCTGACATCTCAATCAGCTACTCATCTCACTATCGAAACTCAACTAGAAAGTTAAATACCCTAACAATCAAATCAAACCGGTCCGGTCTCTGTTCGATACACATGGCGGAAGAAAGTGCTATGCCCCCACCTAGCCGGTTACGGTAGTGAAAGCTCAATAGGGGGAGTGAGTGCACACAGCGGTTTTTTCTATGCCATTGAAAAACACCCATCCGCAAGAGTACTATATTGACTTGCTGGGTCGTCTATTTCTACTTTCCTACAGTTACAGTACCACTACTACGGTACTGTAACTACGGTAGAAGCTTAATAATGAGGGCCGAATGAATGTCTATTTGGTTTACTGGCACTGCTTACAATTTTGGATTATGACGGTAGTATTGTTCTGTCCCCATATGGGAGTTTTATTTTACAAAACTTTACTGCGTTATTTTACTTTTTTTTGAACGTCTGTCGTCTGTTGACTTTTTCATACTGTAATGGCAATAATGCCAAAAAGGACATGGGGGATTACGGTAGCATGGAATAAACGTGGTTCGATAACAACCGAATCCCCCCGTAATACGTGTGAGGAACAAAACAACAAAAAACCCTATTGATCACAGCTCCTTGGTGTACGCCATGCATGTGATGATAAGCCGAATTCGTGGAAGTGCTCGGATCTGCTGATCCAGGGCTTATAGAAAGCTCTTATAAAAGACAAAACCTATCAGGATTTCACAAATTTGACACCAAGGAACCACTGAAATTGAAGGCTTAGATGTTCTTTCCCTTCCATGTGGCCCCCTCCCCTTCCATGCGGTTCCCTTCTATGTTCTTGGCCAATGTGTGATCCCCCTTCTATGTGACTACGGGATCCCCGCTTCTGACCCACTGAAAATAGTGAATGCAGTTGTGGATGAAAACCCCTCCCACTTAGAAAACTCCTCCCATTTATGGAAAAGCCGCGGTTTGGTTACACGATTTTTGATTTCCAGGCTTGGAGAGGTGGTTTGTGATTAATCAGACCGAAGAAATTGAACGGACCCCGAAATCTCTTGAGTATACAATGATACAGAACCTTGATTGAAAATAGCGAACATATCAAACTTTTTGAGGGTAAGTGTGGTCCAAACGAACGAAAAATTTACAAGCGAATGAGGTAATTTTAAACTTTTTTTTTCTTGCAACCGTTAGAATTAACTCGTATGAGCTCGATTGATGGATGCATCACTCTTCGAAAGAAGGGAAATTTCAGTGAAAAACATCTCATTCAAGAAGAATCAGAATGAATGATGAATGCAGTCAGTCAAGTGTGCAGGGAAGAAAGGCGAGAGCATGACGTATTCCACTGAAATAATCTGTTATGAAGTTTTTCCGCTGCATATCACAAAATTAAATCATCAATCATAATCAAAAAATGAAATTTCTAATTTCAAATTAACTTAGGAAAGGCTATGAGGTGATCACGACATTCCTCATGGCCCACAAAATTCGTAGGTCGGTCTAGTTTAGCGAAAAGGTACCACTATTTTCAATCTGCACGAGGCAAACCAGCAAGTGAGACAAAAGAAAACAAATTTTTGAGTCATTCAGAGGCCCTTCAAACTCATGAAACAATCCGCCCGCTTATCGAGGGCAAAGGGAGTGCATGGCGCACTCCCGAAGAAGTTTCACCACTGGAGTCCTTCCACATTTACAATCTCTAGAAGGCACAGGAGAAGCCGGAGGATGTCCATACACCAGCGGAGCCTTTAGCCGTCTTAATAGGGAAATCAGCAAAAGAGCTGGAAAGAGAAAAAGCTAGCTCCGGATAGAATATTTATGTCAATACCTAATTCACTGAGGTTGATTCAGGGCGGGGCGAGATTTCCATTTGCTTAGGAACAGTTTAGAAAACGCTTCGAAATGATGGCTGGTACAACTACGGGATTGCACATGGCTACCTGACTACTTCCTCTTCCATAGCAATTTTTAGTTTTTTTCCTGATCACTTCCCAATCGACGACCCCGAGAGTGAATACAGAGCTCAACGAGGACCCAAATGTTGCTCCAAATCGAAATTGTCGGTGAACACGT